GGGCGGAGCCAGTGAATGCAGGTCAGCATGAGGGCCGGCTCACAGCCCAGGTGCTCTCTGTGTAGCGCTGTCTGCTCCCTACCCATAGAGAGGTCCCAGCCACTGCCAAAACAGTCCCTGACCTTGGCCTGGGTTTCCTCAGAAGTCCACACACTTCATCCCTCCCTCTGTTTTGTATATGTGGGGTTTCTGCAGAGTCTTTGTGGGGCTCTGTCCAGAGACAGAGTGTTTGGTTGTCCTTCATTGTTGAACACTGAGATCTGGGAGAATAAAATATTGTGGTAAAGAGTAACAGACTGCTGTGTGGTGAGGAGGTAAGACAGAGCAATTAAGACTTAGTTAACCCTGGCAGCACGGATGGGGTGTTGGTTGTTGTTGTTGTTGTTGTTGTTGTTATTGTATTTTGTTTTGTTTTCTTATCCAAAAAGAAATTGTGTTTCCTTCCATGTTTGACCTTGGGAGACTTATCTGTGGATGCTACCATCAGTCAGAGTACTTTTGGAAGCTGCCCTTAGTCTCGTCATGCAGGCCGGGAACGTAGCTCTTCTGAGAGGATTTGCATAGCATGGGTGAGGCCCTGGGTTCAGAGCCTCCAGTGCCCCCAGTACCCCACTAAGTGCTTTGTTCAGTTCCCCTCTGCTTATGAAGGGAACCCATACTTAATGTGTACTGGAGGATGGAGAGGTCACTAAACGGTAGAGGGAAGAAGCAAGTTCTTGTGAACAGCCACTTAGCTGCTGAAGCGGCTGTAGTCAGCACATAAATATTCCTCCAGAGTGATGTAAACAGGCAGTTCTCAGAAGAAGAAGTACAAAACAGTAAAGAAACTAGACAGTGCTTAACCCATTACACAGCAGGGAGACCCTCGGCCCACAAAGCTAACAATACTAAAGGTAAATAATGCCCATGCTCCAGCACGAGAACGTGCATTCTTACAGTGTTTGCAGGGTGGCCCGAGAGCACCAGTTAAAGTACTCTTTCTCTCCAGCACCGCGAATCCCATTCCAGGAGTCTGTGTCACAGGCGTGCTCACATACAAATAGTTACACAGACATGTTTATTTCAACTTTGTATTAACCCAAAATTGAGAAGACGGCATGTGCCCTCAGTAGAGGGGCTTAAGTGTAACTGTGCTGTGCTGGTTACTGGAAAGCGCCTCACAGCACTCGGTATGTAAATACAGGTTTCACATCGAGAGGGAACTCACCAAGCCATTCTGATGGCGGCTCAGGAAGGAAATGCATTGATGTGAGAAAGAGTGAATTCT